ACGCGGAGAGGGACAGGCTGAGTGAGTCCGCTGGCGTCGGGGGCGGGCTGGAGGTTGGGCGGTGGTGAGACGGCTACGAGGTCGTGCAATACCTTGTTGGCCTCTGCGGAGCCGTCCATGAGCCACTTGAGGCAGATCTGCACGCGTTCACGCGCGAACCTGTTATGGTCGTCGTAAACGCAGCAGTTGAGTAGGCTTATGATACCATTGTGTTGGATAATCTGCTTCTGCACCACGGGGTTGCCGGGGCCGGCGCGTCCAGCTTCCGGCTGCAGGAGTCCAGCAATGATGTGAAGGATTTGGCCCTTGATGCCAGCCCAGGGGAACTTGTGAGCATGTTCCTGGATGGGAGGAGGAGGAGGGGGCGGAGGCGGATCGGCGCTGTCGTAGTCATGGTCCCGGTCATCGTCGTGAGGCGGAGGGGGGCGCCGGTGAGCGGACCGGTCAGGGAGGTCAACCATGGGTTTCTTCGGCACGGCAGACTCAAGACTCTTGAGGAGGACGAGAAGATCGAATACGGCCTCCCATTGAATCAGACATGTTCTCCACTCAATGGGCTCATTCACCGTCATAAGCAAATCAAGGAACTGTTGGAGACCGTCCTTGGCCCTTTCCATATCCCAACTGTCAACAGGGAAGTCGGCAGGATCGCACACCTCGTTGCGAATCTGGGCCTGAAGGTGCATGAGAGCGGCGCACTCGGGAACGATGCGAGTGCGGAACTGGATGTAAAGAAACTGGAGGAGTTTGATGTCCCGCAGATGCCCCTTGGAACCGGGCTGTATCGGGTCCTGAAGACGGGTCCGGAACATGTTGTTCACCAGACGAAGCAAGACGGTCTGGGCAGGCGAGATAATGTCCTTGGGAATACGCAACGACTGCCACGCAAAGGGGATCAAAGCACTGTGGTGAATGGCTTCGACAATCTGAGTGGTAAGCTGGAAAATGAGAGACTGCTCACTCTTCTCCCACACGGCGATGAAAACCAAGATCTCACGCAATAGACTCCTGCCGCACTCGAGAGAGAGGAACATTCTGCACCTCGTCTTCTGCAAGTTCTCGCCGGCCCTGCTGAGTGATATTCCTGCACTGTCAAGAATGCAGGACTTGACAATCATGTGAAGTGCCTCGATCTGCTTGGGATCAAGGATATTGGGAACCTCAGTGAGCAAGCCGCTCATAGGACCCTCGCCATACGATTCGTCATCGTCAACATCCTCGTCCTCAATCATGTCGTCGTTATAGTCCGGTAGGTTGTAGTGACGGTCATCGCGGACTTCTCCCTCTGGACCCTGGTGCTCAGGCATCTGGACATTCTCGGCAGAATGGACTGACCCCTCTTGATCATCGTTGCGATACGAATGAGGATAACGGTTTAGCGAGCTGAGCTTGCAGCCCTCAATAAGCTGGTGCGCCTTCTCGACCGAAGGCATGGAGATGATCCATTCGTCGTAGTTTGGATCCCGCACCTTGAGCCACCAGGTGTCGACTTCTCTTGATACGCGGCCGTAAAGCCTGTCTTGTTCAAACTTGTCTTGTTCGTCCTCCTTCCACTGCGGCGTGATCTTGGTCTCCTCACCGATATCGTCGGCTCGCGGACGAACATGCGGCATCCAGTTCCACGACAAGACGGGATTTTCGGGTAGACTTCCAGGGGGGGATCCGCGAGACCCCAAGTTCTGTTGGTAATCAACCAGTAATTGCCGAGCCTTGTCGCACATCCTAGAGTTGCGCTCGATCCAGTTCTGAACCTCCATCTTGGCGACATCGGGGCGGAAGTCGGCAAACTGGGCACCGGCATCCTGCTGCTCCTCGCCAGACTCGTCGTCGAACAAAACGGCACACCAAAATGACATCTTGTTCCGGTCATTCTTGGCGATCCAGTTGTGGGCTTGCTGCAGACAAGTGATGAGGAGTTTCTTATACAATTCCGTAATCTCGCTGAGCTTGTGGCGAGCAGTCTCCTCCAGGATATCGCCATCGTAGGCCTTACTGGTGACGTTGACACAGAGGGTGATTGTCTGGTAGAGCATCTTGTCGAACTGGGCAGCAGCACACAGATCCTGGGGAATCTCTGGTTCGGGGACGACCAGCAGGTTCCTTGCAATGTGCATCAACTTGATCAACAACTGCAAGTCCTCTTTGAGCGACGTGTAGTTTTTTGTGATCAGAGCGGTGCTCTCCTGGGGGGTAACGCCCTTTTCGGGGTCATTGAGGCTCTGCAGAGGACCAATCGACCGCGTTGTCAAACTAGGAAGCGCGGCGGCGAAGGACTTTGTGAGCCACACCCATACTTCCACACTCCTTGACAGCGTTTCTCTGTGTTGAATGTTAGTGTCATGAGCTTTGGAGGCGATATAGTTTTCCTCACCGGACTTCTTTCAAGTTGTGTGTCTTTTCCAGAGTCCTGGAAATGAACTTGGTCACGTAGGACATGGTACGGGGGCCGATAGCAGGGTCCATCTTGAGCCACCCCTCAAAGCAGCTCATGGCAGAGGCAAAGCAGAGCTCCTCGACCGTGAGGGCAGGGCGATGGTCAGCTGCCACAGCGCCCTCGGGAGAGGCAGGCGTCGCCATGATGATGTGCGGGCGACGAGTTTACGCTCTGTCTTTCGGTATTTTTGTAGTTGGATAAACTATATTGGATAATGGCGTTGTTGGGGTTACGAGCACCTGGATGACCAGGGTTCTTCGAATAAGTGAGGCGCCTTGGAAGAGCTGTCGGATGTATTAAGATGCTGATATGTTGGGCCGATACCGTGTTGTAAGGTTATCGGTGGATAAAATGGCGGTATTCCTGCAGTAACAGAACAGCCAAATACACCAAGCCCGAAAGAGGGATGTTGCTGTTGTAAGATGTGCTCAGAACTGAATTCAAGTGAACAAAGCTCTTGAAGTTCAGAAGAATCGCAATGGTTATTGGTCAGCGGCAGGCAAAGTGGTTCGCAAATGGATTTTCAAAAGTGGAGCATCGGATCTTCAAACTGACAAGACCGCAGCGCCAAGACTTTTTGCTTGCAAAGACGTTTGACCCCTGCCCGCCGCATTGCTCAATGCCCCCGCATGTACCTTGAAGGAGTCCTTATCTTATCGGCATAATCGAGGGGTATTATCCAAAAAATTAGGTGGTACTGGACGGCAGCCGGGACGACGAGGTAATTCGGGGGTCTCGTTGCGTGCGCTTACACATCTTCTCTCTTTTCTGTCTTGTCTGCTTCTTGATACGCGTTTCTTTCCTTCGTTTCTTTCTTTCCCTGCATATATACCCGGCGTTCAGTTTTAGTATATCCCAATCGCCAAAATGGAGAACCTTCCCACCACTTACGATGGTAAGTCCAAGTCGTTGAATGGATTGATTACCATATGGTTGCTCCAAGCGCCAATTGCCCTGTCACTATGGGCTCAGGAAGGACACCAGCTAACAATACTCCCCCTCCAGGCCCCGTCCACATCGCCGTCATCGGCGGCACCGGCCTCTCCAAGCTCGACGGCTACGTCCCCGTCGCCGCCCTCAACCCCGTCACCCCCTGGGGCTATCCCTCGTCCCCCCTCATGATCTTCGAGCACAACGGACACGCCGTCGCCTTCCTCGCTCGCCACGGCCTCTACCACCAGCTCGCCCCTCACGAGGTTCCCGCGCGCGCCAACATCGCCGCCCTGCGCTCCATCGGCGTGCGCACCATCATCGCCTTCTCCGCCGTCGGCTCCCTGCGCGAGGAGATCAAGCCGATGGATTTCGTCATCCCTGACCAGATCATCGACCGGACCAAGGGTATCCGCCCTTTTACCTTCTACGAGGGCGGCGTGGTAGGCCACGTCGGCTTCGCCGACCCGTTTGACGCCGGCCTGGCCGCTGTGGTTGAGAAGTGCGCCTCCGCGATGAAGGGCGACGGCGTCGTGCTGCACAACAAGGGCACCATCATCTGCATGGAGGGACCCGCCTTCAGCACCCGCGCCGAGAGCCACATGTACCGCTCGTGGGGCGGTAGCGTGATTAACATGTCCGCTCTGCCCGAGGCTAAGCTCGCGAGAGAGGCTGAGTTGGCGTACCAGATGATTTGCATGGCGACTGATTACGACTGCTGGCGCGGCGAGTCGGGCGAGGATGTGGATGTCGCCATGGTCATGAAGTACATGGCTGCAAACGGCGAGAACGCCAAGCACCTGGTTGGTGCGGTGCTGGATGAGCTGCTCAAGCAGGATAACAGCGATTTGGTGCTAGCCAAGAAGTGGCAGGGTAGTGCGCAGGGCGCGGTCAAGTTCATGACTAAGCCTGAGGGCCGTGACCCTGAGGCTATGAAGAGGGTTGAGTTCCTCTTCCCTGGCTTCTGGGAGGAGAAGTAAAGTGTGATGACGTGGGCAAAAAAGGGGGATTAAGTGGGAATGAAGGTATTCATGAAATCTGCCATGATATTTGATGGAAATGAATTGGGCTATAGACACGGGAGGGCTCTTCAGCATTGAGATGGGAAAACGCGCGTAGACTTAGCGTTGCGTTATATATAGCGGCATAGATATCCTTTGGTTCAATACAGTTTAATGGACATGGTTTACATCTCAGCTGATGTGATATACACTCTTCCGATTTTCTCCCCATTAACAAGAAGAATATTCAACCAATCACCGGCCGCTTTTAGGTTTTACCATGCCCCTCGTCATCCCAACTCTCACCGGCCTATGGGTCTAGGTACAGTCCAATACTAGTTTGTTGTATTAGCTCGAAACCTCTAGTCAACTTTCCTAAGCGTTTATATGTCCAATTGATCCGTTTCGTTCCATAACCAAAGCGTGATTTGACCCTTGCATATACTATTTTGGAAATTTGATATGCCATATTGAGTTTTGTTAATACCTTTCTGATCCGTACTTGGCCATTCATTTCATCTTTGTAAGGTTTGGGACAATTCGGGATAGATCTCGTCCAGTATACCAGGAGTACCAAGCTAACAAACGAACCAGCATTAGATTGTATATAAGGTCCTCCCTGCGCACCTTCCCGTGGTCCGTTGGTATAATGGTAACACTACTTCGCTGATGTCTTGTCGTATTGCGATGCGGCCGGCTGTCCAGCATAGAAGTTACCGGTTCAAATCCGGTACAGGCCACACTTTCTTTTCTTTTTGCTTTTCCTACCATCATAGGCTCAGGTTATCTGGTCTCAGCTATGGCTCATGTTCATCGCCAAAGAAACGGGTTTGAAGGCAATGCTGACCAAGACACTCTCACGGCAACCAGACCGGCAGGGAAAAGGGGCAATATTGAGAAATGCTTTGATCATACCATTTCGACATAAACCAACATGAAAAAACCCTGAACTGCGCCCGTCCACGGCAGCCAGCCATCGTGGATATGCTTTGCTTCAATGCCTTGTACAACAAACAGAACCCCACTTCTTCAACCAATACTTGCTCATTCGATCCTTTGGTAAAATTCCTTCGCAAGCCACACCTTCCTTACTCGGCTATAACACGCTCAAGCATATCCTATGAACGATGGCCTCTCTCTCCATCCATCCTGTCATCCTGTTATACAACCTCACTTCCCAGCCCATCCATCCATCCATCCATCCATCCATCCATCCATCCACCAACCAACAACCTCACATCAACAAATAAAGCGCCCTAATCGCCTTCTCCGCCGCCGCCACATGCCACGGCCGCACATCCGTCTCCCGATCCACCATCCCCCTCGCCCTCGCCAGCGTCCCCAGCCCGCGAAAATGCGACAGCATCTCCTTGAGCAGGGCCTCGTACACCCTCGGGTACTGATGCGGCTGCGGGATGTTGGTGCCCTCGCAATGGATCACGTTCACCTCCATTGTTACCGGCACGTCCTCCAGCTTTGGGCCGCCTCTCTTGACGAGATAGCCGCTGGCGAGCGCCTGGTTGAGTTCGGTGAGGGATGTCGAGTTGTTGAGGCGGTGGGCGGCGATGACGGCCCATGTCATGTCTAGTTGGTCGACGAGGGTTGAGTCGGCGTCGGATTCAGTGGTGTTGTTGTTGTTGTTGTTGTTGTTGTTGTTGTTGTTGTTGTTGTTGTTGTTGCTGGTGTCGTTGGCGGCGGTGGCGCTGCTACTGGGGCCGGTACCGATCGGTGTTGGTGGACCCAGGCCGCTTTGGTCGGGGGAGAGAACGGAAGCTTGGGGTGTGGAAGCGGGACTGTTTGAGGAGAGAGCAGCGGATGGGATCTGGATTCTTTGAGCTGGCGGGATGAGTTGTAGCGACGGGTTGGTGTCGACTGTTAGAAGCGTCAGGCTGACGTTCGCATATGTTTCGGATTGTTGCAGGCTAGCCCAGTAATCGATCTCCTGCTGTTCCATCGGGCTGCATTTGGTGACAACTACCCGCCAGTGTACCCGGGCAAAGTGAATATGGTCCATGGTGGTCTCCCATATTTGCTGTATGATCTCGGTTATAGACCTGGTCAGTGGCCTGTCTCGCCTACCGAGACAATATGATGTGGTCATCTGCCTCGTTCCTCGATAATCCGTCCAAGCGGCAGTAATCCACCGTTCGTCCACGCTTTGCGCGTAGGCAACGTGCATACATGAGTTTTCCTGGAGGAGATTCGGGGATGGGTTTGTGTTGAGCTTGAAATCAATCGCTCGCAGGACCTGCGGCTCGAGGACGATGGCAGGCGCTGGCATAGGCCCGCCAAAGAGCGTGCAGCGATCGTAGGTTTCAAGACACAGCTTGATGTAGTCGAAAGGAGACATTACCGTCATAGTTGTGTCCGAAGCAATGGAATCAAGCGGAACCAGCTGAAGGACTAGCTCACTCGTGATCGGCTTCCTGTTGTCTGCCATACACCTCTTGTAGCGCTCGTAGAGATCATGAAAGGCGGCACATGTTTCCACGACCGTACTCGGCTTCTCATCTGGGTAAACGAAAAAGACGACGTAGTTCTTTTCCGTCATCTGGACACTCGTCAGTGCATCTGCGAGGCAGCTCATGGGCTCATCAAATGGTGATACAGCCCATTCGTCACGAACAGTCGGTTGTTGGGTCGCCATATATGATAGTAGTCCATCCTCGAGCTCCATGACAGTTGGGAGGATATCAAACGTCCCTAACTTCAGGGATTCGTAAACACTTCGAATCCGCTGCAAAAAGGCAGAAGCGCTGTCCCGTATGCCGTCAACGTTCGGAAACACGCAGACTGAAACAATATCCTTGGTGCCTTTTGCCGGACTAAGGCCCAAACTTTCCCAGAAGCTGATGGCTGTTGGCAGCATCGAAAAGGGAGTTTCATAGCGGCGGATTTCTATATGGGGTGTTGGTATCGGGTAGATGTTTCGAGTTGACATTTCCGGCCCCATAGGCTTGGCTTGAATACGCTGTGGCTGTGCCAAGGCTATCAAAGGCACATCTTGCACATCTGCGTATGGTTTGAGCGAACACTCGACCGCATCGGACAGTGACCGTGGCAGAGCTTTCCGCAACCCTTGCATGGAGTACCGCACTGCTTTGGCCAAGGTTTTGCGCACCTCCTGGGGCCTACGGCTCAGGATTTTGGGAGCGATTTGTAGCGAACCGGTCGCCACTTGCTCGGTAAGTATTTGAGCAATGGTAATAAAATCCATATCAGAACACGAGACCTGAAGCCGTGCTGGCTCTGGGTCTGCAAAATATTTGGCGATAGAAAACTCGGGCACCTCGGGGTGAGACAGCCGAACCAAATCAATCGACCCATATGCTGATGTATCTGCCACAACATTTTCAAGGTCTTTGAAAGAAGCAGCAGTTGAGAGGACATCGTCGTCTAGACGTCGCCTTGATATGCCTGACTTGGCGAGGGAGGGTGCGTAGTCGCTCTCGTCGCTCGAATCGTCTTGATCGGACGCCCAACTAGAGTCATCAGTCTCTGACGGTAGTTCGTCGCGGCCTGTCAAGCTACCGCCGATCCCGTGAGCTATCCTCGCTAGAAGAGCCCCAAAGTTGGTTGGAGGCTCCTTGGGAGGTTTTTCGACTCTCGTCACCAAAGGATTTTGCAGTTCTAATCGCGCTTTTTGCATTTCTTGTACGGCCGGAATCATGTAATTGAAGGGGCCGTTCTCGGTGTACTTTTTGTTGACCAGCGATAGTGAAGGGTCGAAATCAACCTTGTCAAACTCACTCCTACGTCGCTGAGAAACCGCTGTAGTAGGAGATCGAGGTTTCGGAGGCGACCGAAGCGATGCCTTGATTCGCTTGTACACAGTCTCTCGGTTAAAGGGGCTGGACTGTCTTTTGATTCCTATCGTGGAATTACGATTGAAGCTCTCTTGATTTGCTTGCTGTCGACTTCCTTCAGCGAGAGTGCTGCGTGCATGTTTAAGCTCGGGTTTGGTGAATTCTGGCGGCGCTGGCTGCGTATTCGTCTTGTATTCTTCCACTCTGTTGTTAGTCTGGGGAGTTGAGTTAGTTGGTTGGCCCGTATCGGCAGACAAATCCATTGCCGTTCCCAGCTCTGGTATTGCGCCGATATTCATCTCGACACCCTCGGGTTGTTCGTTGAGTTGTTCGTCGAAGAAGTTGAAATCGGCGTCGGTAAGCTCGTTGCCTTCGAACAGGTCTTCCCCAAGGTCGCCGAACATATTGTCGCCCTCCAAAAGATTCCCAGCCTGTTGCTCCCGCTTATTGTCACCGCCTTCCCAGCCATTGCCAAAGTTCTCCGCATGGGGGGCGTTGTTCTGTATCACAGCATCTATGCCAGCCATCGCATTAAGCTGGGGTTGATTTGCAGGACTGGCAGCGAAGCCTGTCTCGACAGAGGAAGCCATGCCTAATGGTTGAATTCCGTCCGGAGGCGTCGGATACATTGCGCTGGAAGCGGCTATGGCCCCGCCGTTGCTCGGCCGGCGCAGCGCCATAGGCGACGCAGCACTAATCTGGTTGTTCTTTGAATCAGCATCAGAAATACTGCGAGACACGGCTGCTAGCGCCTCCCTCTCATCCTTTTCCTTCTTTCGCTTTGCGATCGTCTCTTCTCGCTCAGGGAATCCTTGGCACCATTGCCTCGCGTCATCTACCGGGTCTAGCGATTCGGATGCGCTCGCCACCAGTGCCTTGGATGAACGGTTATCAGCTCCAGCCTCGATCCTTAGTTTTCTAAAGCAAAGCACCGATGGCCAAGCCGCGATTTGAGGCGGGTTCATCAAAGGAGCTCTCTTGGCGTCTTGCCTGTGTTCGTATGGTTTTCGCTGCAGGAAATGAACATTGAACCAGGAGCAGCCATTGATCAGCGAAGGTGAGATACCACGCATTTGGAGTACTTTGCAACAAGTTGCCTTCCATTGTGAGAGCCTATTGGTTGGATCCGGCCTTAGACGACTGATTTGGGTGTCTGGTGATTGGCCATAGCCGCTATCAAGTCCATATACGTCTCCATCCACTGGATTCATCATGGAACCAAACGCCCCAAGGGGAGCAGCAAGCACCACTGGATTTGATGGGAGCATGTTAGACCGCGCCAACTCGGCAAACGATGCCAGTCCCTCAAGCAAAGAGACGGAAAGAGAAATGACGAGTGTCCCAGTCGATGTAAGATACACGCGAAAAGTACCCAAGGCAGAAGTATGTGGCTTCGGGCCTAGGGTGAACTCGTCCAAGTAGTACGCTTGGGAGGGAAGCAATATCGACCTGTGATCCAGCGGAATTGCGTCTATCGTGTGGCACAACGAGGAGGATAGAGATGCCAGAGTCGCAGTGATGAAGAAGTCGTATTTCTCCTTAATGGGCACGTGGGCGAAACGATCCGAGTCCGGCATGATATGCGACGCGCCCTTGTTATCCATAACTGGAGCGCCGGGCATGGCTCCTGCTGCCGTGGGAAAGGCAGAGGCCTGCGGATTCCGAAACGCAGTGTCAAGGGCAGAACCGCCAGATGACGAGCTGTTTGGAGTGTTGAGAGAGTTTGTCCCGAGCTGTCTGCTTCTGAACAAGCTGCTGGGGTCAAAGCCGCCTTCTCCAGACAAGCCTAGCGAGTAATCGCAGACCTCCATCTTGGCGGTGAGCCCTCTCTCCTCGGGCCCCAACGACGAGCCATCCTTGGTGGTCAGGTAGAAACACCATATACATCGCCTCGTTGTATCGACGTGGACAAGGTGGCCATCGCGGCGCAAGGC